GGGCTGGGTTATAAAAAAATATCTGAAACTTTGAACATCCCACGGAGCACCATTAAATCCATTATACATTTTTTTAAAGAATATGGCACCACAACAAACTTGCCAAGAGAGGGCCGCCCACCAAAACTCACGGACCAAGCAAGGAGGGCATTAATCAGAGAGGTAACAAAGAGACCAAAGATAACCCTGAAGGAGCTGCAAAGCTCCACAGCGGAGATTGGAGTATCTGTCCATAGGACCACTTTAAGCCGTACACTCCACAGAGCTGGGCTTTACAGAAGAGTGGCCAGAAAAAAGCCATTGCTTAAAGAAAAAAATATGCAAACACGTTTGGTGTTCGCCAAAAGCCATGTGGGAGACTCCCCAAACATATGGAAGAAGGTACTCTGGTCAGATGAGACAAAAATTTAGCTTTTTGGCCATCAAGGAAAATGCTATGTCTGGCGCAAACCCAACACCTCTCATCACCCCGAGAACACCATCCCTACAGTGAAGCATGGTGGTGGCAGCATCATGCTGTGGGGATGTTTTTTTATCGGCAGGGACTGGGAAACTGGTCAGAATTGAAGGAATGATGGATGGCGCTAAATACAGGAAAATTCTTGAGGGAAACCTGTTTCAGTCTTCCAGAGATTTGAGACTGGGACGGAGGTTCACCTTCCAGCAGGACAATGACCCTAAGCATACTGCTAAAGCAACACTCAAGTGGTTTAAGGGGAAACATTTAAATGTCTTGGAATGGCCTAGTCAAAGCCCAGACCTCAATCCAATTGAGAATATGTGGTATGACTTAAAGATTGCTATACACCAGCGGAACCCATCCAACTTGAATGAGCTAGAGCAGATTTGCCTTGAAGAATGGGCAAAAATCCCAGTGGCTAGATGTGTCAAGCTTATAGAGACATACCCCAAGAGACTTGCAGCTGTGATTGCTGCAAAAGGTGGGTGAATAGTTATGCACGCTCAAGTTCAGTTTTTTTGTCTTATTTCTTGTTTGTTTCACAATAAAACATATTTTGCATCTTCAAAGTGGAAGGCATGTTGTGTAAATCAAATGATACAAACCCCCCAAAAATTCCAGGTTGTAAGGCAACAAAATAGGAAAAATGCCACTGTTGGCTGCTTTTCCTTCACTCTGCCATTCGACTCATCCCAAACCATCTCAATTGGGTTGAGGTCAGGGGATTGTGGAGGCCAGGTCATCTGATGCAGCTCTCCATCACTCTCCTTCTTGGTAAAATAGCCCTTACACAGCCTGGAGGTGTGTTGGGTCACTGTCCTGTTGAAAAACAAATGATAGTCCCACTAATCCCAAACCAGATGGGATGGCGTATCGCTGCAGAATGCTGTGGTACCCATGCTGGTTAAGTGTGCCTTGAATTCTAAATAAATCACTGACAGTGTCACAAGCAAAGCACCCCCACACCATAACACCTTCTCCTCCATGCTTTATGGTGGGAACTACACAGGCGGAGATCATCCGTTCACCCACACCGCGTCTAACAAAGACACGGCGGTTGGAACCAAAAATCTCAAATTTGGACTCTAGACCAAAGGACAAATTTCCACTGGTCTAATGTCCATTGCTCGTGTTTCTTGGCCCAAGCAGGTCTCTTCTTCTTATTGGTGTCCTTTAGTAGTGGTTTCTTTGCAGCAATTCGACCATGAAGGCCTGATTCACACAGTCCCATCTGAACAGTTGATGTTGATATATTTATTTGGCCTGCAATTTCTGAGGCTGGTAACTCTAATGAACTTATCCTCTGCAGCAGAGGTAACTCTGGGTCTTCCATTCCTGTGGCGGTCCTCATGAGAGCCAGTTTAATCATAGCGCTTGATGGTTTTTGCGACTGCACTTGAAGAAACTTTCAAAGTTCTTGAAATGTTCCGTATTGACTGACCTTCATGTCTTAAAGTAATGATGGACTGTCGTTTCTCTTTGCTTATTTGGGCTATTCTTGCCATGATATGGACTTGGTATTTTAACAAATAGGGCTATCTTCTGTATACCCCCCCTACCTTGTCACAACACAACTGATTGGCTCAAATGCATAAAGAAGGAAAGAAATTCCACAAATTAACTTTTAAGAAGGCACACCTGTTAATTGAAATGCATTCCAGGTGACTACCTCATGAAGCTGGTTGAGAGAATGCCAAGCGTGTGCAAAGCTGTCATCAAGGCAAAGGGTGGCTATTTGAAGAATCTCAATTATAAAATGTATTTTGATTTGTTTAACACTGTTGGATACTACATGATTCCATAAATGTTATTTCATAGTTTTGATATCTTCACTATTATTCTACAATGTAAAAAAAACAAAGACTACTGGAGCCTCCACCACCAGAGGCACATTACTCTTATCCTCCTTAAAGGAGAAGTAACATTTGGTCTTGTAAACAAACCATGAATAACATGGCCAAAGGCATATTCATTCATTTTCTCCCCAATTTCGTGATATCCAATTGTTAGTTACAGTCTTGTCCCATCGCTGCAACTTCCGTACGGACTCGGGAGAGGCGAAGGTTGAGAGCCATGCGTCCTCCGAAACACGACCCTGCCAAGCCTTGACACACTGCTCGCTTAACCCGGAAGCCAGCCGCACCAATGTGTCAGAGGAAACGCCGTACAACTGGCGACCACAGTCAGCGTGCATGCGCCCGGCCAGCCACAGGAGTCGCTAGAGCACGATGGGACAAGGAAATCCCGGCCGGCCAAATCCTCCCCTAACCCGGACGATGCTGGGCCAATTGTGCGCCGCCTAATTGGTCTCCCGGTCGCACACGGCTGCGACACAGCCCGGGATCGAACCCGGATCTGTAGTGACGCCTCTAGCACTGAGATGCAGTGCCTTAGACCGCTGTGCCACTCGGGAGGCCATCACTGTGTATTTTACTGCCAACCGAGACTCTGGAAGAATCTCAATTGCATACTCTTCATATTCCCTCGCTTTCTGAAAACCCATTGGATGAGAAAGCCAGAGGTCCCACCCCTCTGACCTTTTCCTCCAATGGGTTTTGAGGAGGCGAGAGGACCCGAGGAGTATGCAATTGAGATTCTCCGATTGAGACGGCAACTCAGTCAAATTAACGTGACCAGCTGACATGATGGTAGCTTGCCCACATTAGGAAAATTGAAGGGAAGTGACATGGTATAATTAGCATGAGGAATGGAACACAGACGGGACCATTCAGTCATCTGCCATTTTGAATACTTTTCATGGTTTGTACTTTGAACGAGACAAAAACGTATTCATAAAGACATAATCACAGGAGACAACCATTTAATCCACAATAACCTTTATATTAAATCTTTGCAACATGACAAAATGGAGAAAAGCAGTTTTTTGGGAAGGGGGAGCATATGTAACACACAAAAGGTAATTATAGGGAGTGGTCTTTACGTTGAGACATGAAGAAGTGGAGGGGAACAAAGGACATGTTACAGCACTGTAGGGAGATCAAGTTACATCCCAAATGGCACACTATTTCCTATATAGTGCACTACCTTTGACCAGGGTCCATAGGGTGTCATTTGGGACATACGACAAGTAGTTGGAGTGTTTGACATAAGAGAGGTGAAGAAATTAAGAAAGTGCAAGATGGTAGACAGGAAATGAAAAAGACAGAAAAATAAAGATTTACAGATAGCTAAGGCACTTGCGAAACTAATAATAATAATAATAAGCCATTTAGCAGACGCTTTTATCCAAAGCGACTTACAGTCATGCGTGCATAAATGTTTTGTGTATGGGTGGTCCCGGGGATCGAACCCACTACCTTGGTGTTACAAGCGCCGTGCTCTACCAGCTGAGCTACAGAAGACAACTAAAACATGTAAAACATACTTTGGTGTCCCATTTTATTAAAGCTTCAAACTTAATGAATTGAATCAAAAGCTTTACAAAGAAATTGAAAAGGACTCCTTTACACTTCTGGACGAAATGAAATAAATAGGAAATAAACTGTAGTGTAATTGTAAACCCCAATCATAATCCAACTCACTCAAATAGTCACAGTATGGCCTGGACGTTCATCTTTCTTTATGTTGTATTGGGTCTATGTTGACCCATAAAGTGCATCTTTGGACAAATGGGCAGAAAAGTACTGATTTGAATGAATTAATTCTCCTCCAGTACAGTTGAATTAAGGGTTGGACTGGTCTGGATCAGTGACTGGACTTAGTATTTGTATTAAAAAAATTAAACAAAATAAAATCCGGTAACTAAAAAGTTATTTTCAAAACATTTAAAAATTTATTATTTCAAGCCATGTGCTTTCTGCTCCCCAAGGGCCATTGCATTTGGAGACCGACATAAACGAAAAAACAAATATCCACACAACGCAAACCAAACTCTCCAGCTTTTCTTTAGACAGTTAAAACGTAATAATGTTTTACGACATTTAAACCAAGAACCTTAACAACACTAGCACATTCCAGGTTGAATAAGAATGCCATGGCAATAATAGTAGCGGCTGCTCTACTACAATCCAATAACAAAATGGCAGGTGCAAAAAACTATTCATTTTCCATTATCGCTACTGTATGCTTTAGTGGTCTGACATGGTGATTTGAACACTTACACGGACCTGTAACAAGTTGTGGCCATTAAGAGAACCTCATCTCTCTTGGCAGTGTTAAGTGTTGGCGCACTTATATTTTTGAGATGGGAGTCAGCGTACTGAGAAGGCAGCGTTTGAACAAGTCTAGCAATACTCCGAGCGTTAACCAAGCATGCAGGAAAGGAATGCCCCTGTGAACAACAATTAGTAATAGCGCTATTCATAATGCAGGATGGGAAGCTGCAAGTAGAGCTAGGCATCTTAGTGAATGATTTGCAATATAAGGACTAGAAATAGAGGGAACGGTTTGTTGCTAAGGCACAGTTTTACCATGTGTTTGGCTCCATTGCCGTCTTTCCTGTCCTCCCCATCCTCTCCCTCCAACTAGTGTGATCTACAGAGCAGTGAAACCCATCCGGGCCTCGTAAGGAGTGTGTGATCTTTAGCATTATTTGTGTATATATTATTCAGAGGTGTGCGTGTGTTTGCTTGTGGCCTTTCCACCAGCAATTCTGCCTTACTGTGGCCTCTTGGACTAGGCCACGTGGGGAGAGTTACTCTTCCCCATTCCAGACACATCCTCCTCGGTGTCTCTGTAACAAATCACTCCATTTTGCTGTGGTGGTGGTTGTTGTTAAACACTGTGTGGCCATTGCCATTCTGCACAACGCCATTTTTCCTTTTCTCATGGTCTTCGTCCTCCTCATCTGAATCAGTCTCTTCCCTGTCACTCCTCTCATCCTCAACGATATCCTGATGGGAGAGAGAGTACATTTACATTTAAATGTTGGTAATTTATCAGACGCTCTCATCCAGAGCGACTTCAGTAAATTTAAGTTAAGGCCGAGGATCAGACTTTTCTGGACCCCGCTTCCCGGCGGCTGGGGGTCCCGAGGGTTCGGCGCCATGTGCGGGATTCTTTACTTCGCACACACTGCTCTACTCGTAGAGAACCTCCCTTCACATTTCTCACTGTCAATCGTGAATGATAATTCTTCAAATTTTACAGGTGAAACGTCCATGCAGCATCTGCATACCAACCATTTGATCTCAATCAGTTTCATGGGGATATGCATTTAAATCTTCTTCAGTTGAAGGTTACTTTGAAACTGGAGCCTATAACTCAATATCTTAATGCATATCCCTGCGAAACTGACTGGGGCCATACTTACCAACATTAGAAACAGTTTAAATTTAAACCGTTTCTCAGTCTGAAAATGTGCATTGTAGCTGGTCCATCAGATAACCTGGCACACGTTAGCCCTATGCTAACCTCACCAGATGAGTGATTCTTTCCTGGAACAAAATTCTGCAGCAGCCTAAAGATCTTAAACTTTCTTATAATTGGTCGACCTGGCCACCAGAGGGATATTTTAAACCTACAAATTCAAGGTTTACTTTTGTTCCGTTGGTCTGTAACAAAATGTTGTGTGCCAATATTGCATCCTTAACTAGGCTACTAGTACTAACAGACAACATTTTCATGTTTTTGCCCATCTGTTTCACACATATCCATGTGCTTTCATTGGAAATAGTTGCACAGGACAGACAGAGATGAGCACAGAGAAAAAGAGGACCCAAAAGGAATTGACAACCATTCGAAAAATTCAAACTGTTTAAATGTAAACTGTGTCTAATGTTCGCAAGTATGGCACCACCGAGATCAAATGGTTGTTGATCAACGGTGTTGTTTTGCACAGTGAGCGAATCTTAGAGCAGATGGTGTTAAACTGTAGCATAGCCTACCTTTGTTAGTTTCAATCAAAGCACATATTGATTGAAAAAAGCGACCATTCACACAATCATCCTAAGGTGGTTTTTTGTCTTACAGTATCGTTATACTATGCTAATGATAGTTGGTTCTGTTATGTATAATACTATCATTATGTGATCTTGCAGACATTGATTCAGCTTTGATCTAACTTTATTAAAATGAGCAACATTCCCCAGAGTTGCTATGTTTGTGGAGCGGGGTGTGTAGAGTGCAGAGGCTTCAGGACCTTTAGTTGTCAGAAGGATCGGCTCCGCAGCCACTCCGTTAACTTAAAGCTAGAATCCTTAGTTGCTACAATATTAACATTATTTATATATACACACACACTCATTGATTCTTGAAGAATATAACTTATAAATGCCTCCTGAGCTTGGTTAAACTATCGTACCACAGAACCCAAAATATAATAATAATAATAATTATTATTATTATTATTATTATTAAAATATAAGCTTGCTTTACTCCAATGTTTGTAAACAATGTAAATGCAAACAAACACTATATAGCCTCAAAACATGGTTAAAACTATAAATTTTGATATCATGGATGATCAGTCCTTACATCCATAGCTCTGTCTATTAATTTGAGAGTGGTTACATTTCTCCAGGCCCATCCCTCAGCTTTTTACCATAACAGACGTGGGATGACTGCTTTGTTATTGTTTCAATTAAGTTAGCTAGGTAAGACAAACACATATCACAATCATTAAAAGTAAACGTTGAGTTTGAGTGGTGATGTGGAACAGTAGGTACAGTTTGGTGATGAAAAGTAGAGCAGTGAGGCTCAGAAGAGTTTGACATTGGGGCGGTTTCCCAGGCACAGATTAAGCCTCACCCCAAGGGGGATTACTACAAAGCAGGATCAATGAGTTAACCATTTGATAAACAACCAGAAATAACTAGATTTTCTGATTCTTTAAGAAAGCTAAACTTAGATGTGTGTTTTTGGGATGGGGGAGTCAATTAGACCATGCCCATTTCAAGATAATCCTTATTTCAGGATATTTAGGCAAGTTAGCTGGCTAACTCATTGATCCTGCATTGTGGTATACCCCTCAGCTGGACTAAAAAGCACTTTCAATGGAAATTCTCCATTGAGCTTGCTTTATAGTCCTAAGGGGGTATATCACAATTGAAGCTAGATCTACTCAGGGTTTTCTAAAGCTGGCCAGCTTCAGCGCTTCACATTCCAGAGCCCCATACTACATACAGTGCCTTCAGAAAGTATTAAAACTACTTCACTTTTTCCACATTTTGTTGGTGTTCGATGGTGTCTCAATACACCCAGTCACTACAAAGATACAGGCATCCTTTCTAACTCAGTTACCGGAGAGGAAGGAAACCGCTCCTGGATTTCACCATGAGGCCAATGTGACTTTAAAACAGTTACAGAGTTTAATGGCTGTGATAGGAGAGAACTGAGGATGGATCAACAACATTGTAGTTACTCCACAATACTAACCTAATTTACAGAGTGAAAAGTAGGAAGCTTGTACAGAATAAAAATATTCCAAAACATGCATCCTGTTTGCAACAAGGCACTAAAGTAAAACTGCAAAAAATGTGGCAAAGAAATGAACTTTATGTTCTGAATACAAAGCGTTATGTTTGGGGCAAAATCCAACACAACATCACTGAGTACCACTTCACATTTTGAAGCATGGTGGCGGCTGCATCATGTTATGGGTTTGCTTGTCATCGGCAAGCATACCCAAAACAGAAACGGAATACAGCCATAAGCACAGGCAAAATCTTAGAGGAAAACCTGTCCCAGTCTGCTTTCCACTGAGGGACACATTCACCTTTCAGAAGGACAATAACCTAAAACACAAGGCCAAATATACACTGAAGTAGCTTACCAAGATGACATTGAATGTTCCTGAGTGGCCTAGTTACAATTTGGACTTACATCTACAAGACTTGAAAAGGACTGTCTAGCAATGATCAACAACCAATTTGACAAAGCTTGAAGAAATTTAAAAAAGAATAACGTGCAAATATTGTACAATCCATGTGTGGAAAGCTCTTAGAGACTTACCCAGAAAGACTCACAGCTTTAAAAGCTGCCAAAGTTGATTCTAACATGTATTGCCTCAGGGGGTTGAATACTTATCTAATCAATTTTTTACAAAAATGTTATAATTCTTCTTCCACCAGTATTTTGTGTAGATCTTGGACAAAAAAAGAACAATTAAATCCATTTTAATCCCACCTTGTAACACAACAAAATGTGGAAACAGTCAAGGGGTGTGAATATTTTCTGAAGGCACTGTACGTGATTTGAGGAGTTAGCGATGTCACTTTAGTCAACTCGGGATAACCGGTACCACGAAAGTGGCTCACCTTTTAGCCAGGTACATTTCTATGGCAATGAATTCTTCAGTACTAACCTGCTCCGGCAGCATAACTCAGAGCTAACTCCATTTATCCTGAATGATATGTCTGAGCCGGCGAGTTGTGGACCAATGAAATAAGATTCCCTCCCTTTCGCAACTTTGGTTTGCATGCCCTGCCGAAGGACCCGATCATGCGGAATAGGTGGTTGGAGTTCATTGATCCCCAATGGTGGTGAGTATACCAGTAGCTAGACCATAGACTGCTGGTTATGTATATTTTTATAATCATTATCTCGATCATCGCTAGCATAGCTGACTTTAGCTAGCTAGCTACCAACTAGCTAGCAAGCTAGACTACCTCAATACAACTCGGATTTGGCTTGGAAACACGATAACATTTCAAAAGGCGGCAAATAATTAGTAGGAAAACCTTTTGTCATGATTGTGATGTCACCAGATTGACATTAGATGGAGTAATACTTAAGCTAACATTAGCATTGCTAGCTATTGTTGACTAACTTTGCTAATAACAGTAATGGCAACATTGGAATCTCTAAAGTAAAATTGTCACAGCCTCAAGGCGAGGTGCAACCCATGTCTAGGGCACAAATAAATATTGGATGCAGCTATGTGGTACTAGCTAACATGTCTGACTACGACAGTGTACTAACTAGCAGCAACAAACTCAAACCAACCCAGGACCATAGTAAAACATGTCACAGTTGGTTGTAGTGTAATGGCTTCACCGGCCTGAATCCTTCCAAACGAGATTACGTTATTTCTCAAGCTATGTTTATAGTTGAGGGATGATGACAATCGTTGACCCTGATTTTCGTTAGACAAAGTGCACAGTTGGGTGCTAGACTGATCCCCTGGTCATGAACGGATGCCAGGACCTACCAGAAGGAGCAATGGTGGGTATCATAACATGTCCAGCAATGCGATTGCAATGGTTTAAAAACCTCCAAAAATCATTTCATTCACTGTTCACTTGCTATTTATTTTCAGCTTGTCAGGCAAGACCTCAGAATAAGAGTGTAATGTGACAAGTCCCCTTGTGACACCTCCTCTGTTGTTGCCAGTCTCCCTTGACTCCTATGAAAAGGACACACCATCATGACGCCTCTGATAGTGACCCGAGTTACTGCCCTGATGACAGAGACGGCTTCGTCGAGAACGACAGGTAATGTGTGTTATGTGAAAAGTTGAATTAGAAAATACCTGGCTGACAAACTAGTAGGCTAATTCTCCAGCCAAGCAGATACAACTAGTAGAGTCATTTTGGTGGAGAAGTGCATTAGCAAAAAGCTTTGTCCTTTCTTTAGAACAAAATGCAATTGACCACTTGTGTATTATACCACCCCATCACAGACTAGTCAACACCACCTCATAAAATTGCGTGCTGCAGTTGTTCGAGAGATGTCCAGTTTGCAGCCGAACACGTAGCATAGAGAAGAGCAGCAAGGGTGCCCTCATCAGCATCATGCAGACAAGCCCTCGCGGTGAGTAGTCAATGTTGTGCCGGTAATGGTTGGGCTAGAAGCAATCAATTTTCGCTGTAGTAATGGTGCAACCATGACTATCGAATCTGCACACGCTTTTTTCTGTAGGGCACTCGGAAACAACGGTACTAAGCGAAGCCTTATCACAATAATTATTATCTGGGAGATTTTTTTCCTAGTAGCACAGTGCTCCCAAAATAAAACTTGTGGTCGCACAGCAAAATATTTGGTCACACTTTAGAGACTTGGCTGCAACATTTATGTAATAGTTTATGCATGTGTCTGTTGGGGGTGATGTGTTATCACGCTTGCTAAATAAATACCGGAGGAAAGTGTAGAGCACGCCTTGAGCATTGTGCCTGGTCCACGCAACCTGCGATTTCCGTGAATCTGATTGGTGAAAACATGCAAAGAGTCAGTCTGCAGCAGCACTCTGATGTGAAGGACAGAGAAATTGTGCGCGAGTTGACAAATAAAAATAAACAGCACTTTGCCCCTCTTTAACACTTTGCATTGATATATTTTAAACAAAATTAAAAGTGGTGTGGTGCTGCCACATCTGATTGAAAAGTGATATGGCAAATGCCGCCTCACAACTCGTTTTCCGGCGGCCCTGGATAGGAGTGGAACAAAAAGGTGATTGTGCATTGATAAGCACACCAAAGACTCCATTAACGATAAGTAGTAAAATAAAGACGGCACTTCAACAAGCCTATTTCACACCATAGCCTGCAGAATTTGCAAGATTTATTTCATTTTGATTTCAGCACAAATGAAAATGTTGCACTGACTCGCCAATGGATTGATGTTTCAGCATTGTCTCAATTAAGAGTTTGGCGTTCGACTAGCCACATGCGACATGCACGCGCAGTTACAAGCCTGCTAGACCGAAAGTAAAAGACGCAAAAACAAAACTTAAGCACGGGAAGCATAGAAATAGCGCACATAGAACAGATCTACTGCTTCTTAGACTTGCTTTCAATGAGAATGACAGATCTTTAACACACATTACTATGTGAATTTGGTCAGGTCGCCCAAAAAGCTACATAATGCAGCTTTAAGTCATACACAAGTTTAACTCGGTCTCCCGAGTGGTGCAGTGGTTCGAATCCAGGCTCTGTCGTAGCCGGCTGTGACCGGGAGACCCATGGGGCGGCGCACAATTGGCCCAGCGTCGTTCAGGGTATGGGAGGGAATGGCCGGCAGGGATGTAGCTCAGTTGGTAGAGCATGGCGTTTGCAACGCCAGGGTTGTGGGTTCGATTCCCACGGGGGGCCAGTATGAACAAATAAAAATAAAAAAATGTATGCACTCACTAACTGTAAGTCGCTCTGGATAAGAGCGTCTGCTAAATGACGTAAATGTGCGTGAAGTTTCAAAGGATTCAGCCATTACTAAATGTGTAATGTGATTGGTATTTTAAATTTTTTTTACAAAAAAAACATTGACTAATAAAATATTTAATCAGTCATCCTCAAATATAGGGGATGATGACGCAATCTTTCCAAGAGTTAGCCTGCCCGGGAGTAGGTTAGTTTTGAAGGATTTGTTGCCATAGAAATGTATCTGGTAACGGTTATCCCGAGTTGAACTCAGAATTTACCAAAATTACCTAGCTAACTCCTCAAACCACGTACGTAGTATAAGGCTCTGGACTAGGCTCAATATGTGTCCAGGAAACCGCCCTATAGTGATTAGGTTTGGGAATACGTACGTTTCCAGGCAGGAACTTGATGGCCATGCGCAGGATGAGGGCAGCCCAGAAGATGTGCAGACACTGCAGCACAAACAACAGCCCGTTGAAGAAGTAGAACCCAAAGAAAGGGGGATAGATGGTCAATGGGTACACCCACGTAGTATGTATGATCCTGGGGGAGGAAACAGACAGATCCAGTCAATACAGATCTGCATTGGTAGTCAACCATTTTGGCAAAGACTTAAGTAAATCACTAGAATGCATTGCATCCTGTACAATTGATCATTGAAAAATGAGTGCTTTAGACCTATGGATGCAATTTTCCCAGACAACGATTAAACCTAGTACTGGACTAAAAAGCAAGCTCAATAGAAAAGCTCAGTTGAAAAGGCTTTTTTAGGCTTAATGTGTCCGGGAAACCTCCCCATCCAAGATCTGAGCATCTTACCAGAAAGGGAGTATGACGAGGCGGGTAATGATGAACACAGCTGCAAACAGGATGAAGATGTAGTTGCAGGTCTTTCTCCATTCTGCATAGTTGAACATCTTTGCTGACTAAAAGGAGCAACAGAAAGGGAGAAAAAATAAACGAGTTTGTTGCAGTTGGCAGGCTTAACAGTATGACCAGTTCTGTGAGAGTAGAAATTCTGTAAGCACCATTTATGACTATAATACAATTGTAATGGCCTTTACTGTCCATATAGAAATAACACTCCTCTATACTTATTATGGAATGGATATACTATATTTAGGTCTGTAATGATGACATTGTATTGTGTAGCTCAGTTGAGAGCATGGCGTTTGCAACGGCAGGGTTGTGGGTTCGATTCCCACGGGGGGCCAGTATGAAAAATGTATGCACTCACTAACTGTAAGTCGCTCTGGATAAGAGCGTCTGCTAAATGACTAAAATGTAAATGTATGGGGGGCTGTACCTCCAGTAGATAGTCTGAGGCATCGTGCACCAACATGATCAAAGTCCCGGCACGGATGTAGTTGACCAACCACGAAAAACTGATCAGCAGAATAGTGGCCACATGGTGAACAATCTGCTCCTTAAAATCCTAGAAGAGAGAGAGGGGGAGTTTGTCAGATATGCAAATGATGTGTTTACTTTGTGCACTGCACATCAGATTCAGTCATAAGAGGAGGGGGTAGTTGTTCACTTTAAAATCTTGTTGAAATGTGTTCTAGTTCTGATGGATATGGCACCAGGGTCATGACATTCCTCACACGCAACTTGATTATTATGTTTCTTTTGGATGCATTGTTCTGAACTACAATTATTTTAGAGCTTTAACACCGCTGAATATCATCAATGTTCATAGCTTCAAATGTCTGCAGGGACACCTCTAAGCTACTGTTACAGACACCTGGATTCACCGCTTATTGATTAAATGACGGAGTAAGAGTGTGTGCATACCGATTCATCCAGTTCTCACATGAGTGACAGTAGGCAGGTTTCCATTGACCCAGGTTTATTTGAGAAAAGCAATGTCGCAAAAAAACAACAACATTGCGAAGTGTAATGGAAACGGTAGCTATAGGAGAAATGTTCTAAAGATCGACAACATTGTTAACTGTTCGATGGGTGGATTATTGTTTTATCTAACTTTCTTTGTGACAAATGATGATGGAAACTGTGTTTTTCAAATAAATGATGATTGCCAAATAACTTTTAATGGTAGGCCTACGCAGGGCAAGTGACGTCATCACATATCTATAAAGCTCCACTCCGCATTTCATTCTAAATGCCTACTGTTTGCTAAATCAATTTTTTTCCAACTCAACCAGGACAAGGATTGTCTTGACTTTCAAGAATGCCTGAATTGCTTCGCCTTGCTTTTCTAGTTGGCTAGGAACAGAAAATGATGGAAGCGAGTTTCACCAGCCAATTATTTCAGATCTAAAAGGAGTGCAAGTTTCACCATGGCACGGACCATGTTGATACGTTGGCACAATTATTTGAAGATGGCAAATTATTGCATTCTAGCAATGCTGGCTTTTGCGGGCTACCTGAGACATGAAACAGATAGGAGGGAAGGCATACAGCCTAAATTGATAATGTAAACACCTCAACCACTTAATTTTTATTCAACCATTTTTTTTTGGGGGGGGGGGGGGGTGTTACGACATTACGTCCACTTAATTTTTTATCGACGAGACGGTTCAATGGAAACGCACCGTAGCAGGCAATTGGAGCATGTATTTTCTATGCAAATGCAAACATTCTAAACGTCGACAAAAAAATCCCTGGACAACTTAATGGAAACATAGCTAATGAGTGCATGTATCCATGTATACTTTCCTACTTACAACTGAACTAAAACGTTGCCCTAGCCATGAGCTTGAGGCGAGCAAAAAACTAACAAGCCCAATTTAGAGTTCCACTGCAATTATAGCTAACAAAACGACACAAATGTTCTCACAACCAAGTCTCTAAAACCATTGTTTTGGATCAGCCCAATTCATTCCTTGTGTCTGTCAAATCAACCGACAAACAGGACTGGATTTCAGTCAAGTCTGCTGACTGTTTTGAAGAGTTGCCACTTTCCATTTGGGCTCACCAGCTGGAAAATAAATACGGCTGGAGAACATGGTCAATCAGTCTCCACTGTGATACCTTTCCACAATGTGCCGGTCACATATTAACCCACAGATGCCCTAGACCAGTGTTACCCAAACTCGGTCCTCAGGACCCAAAGGGGTGCACGTTTTGTTTTTTGCCCTAACACTACACAGCTGATTCAAAGCTGAATGACTAGTTCATTATTTGAATCAGCTGTGTAGTGCTAGGGCAAAAAACTAAACGTGCACCGAGTTTGGGAAACCCTGCCCTAGACACATTAACACCCTTCCCTACCTGAGACATACACACAACAGGGAAGAAGGGAAATTGGTTGTGATACCCAAACTGACATCTGCTGAGATGTGGTTAGCTCTGTCTCTTATCTCTCTCTCTGCCCTCTTGACAAAGATAAGGTCTCTCCTGTTGCCATTGTAATGGTACTGTTGTATGTAAATTGTCAATGTTTCTGAATTAGGCTCCACTTACTTTACGCTTGACATCCGTTGCCACACTGAAGAGCAGCGATATGTAGAATCCCAGCTCAATCATGTAGTACCAGTACTGAGAAGGCAGCAGTGGCTGTAAGAGGGAAGAACAAATATGCTATTTAGCAGATACTTCTATCCAAAGCAACTTAAAGTAGTGCATGCATACATTTTCGTAACATTTATAAAAGGTGTCTAGAAATGCCAAGCTAGAATCATGTACTGGAAACCTTTGAAAAATCCTTTATGTTTGGGATTGTCCCAAAATGTGGCAGACACTGACATTGTAAAGTTTGTAGACCAACTAAACATTTAAAACCAATTACGATTTAGAGACCAACAGTCTTACAGTGGACATACCATTGTGGGGAAGCCATTCCACATCTCCTCCATGTCATAGAACCATGGTTTCTGGGAAGAGGTTCATATATTAGTGAGGATTTCAGTCTCAAACCAAACACAAGCACAAAATGGCACCCGCCAGAGCAAAGGTATAAAACGTTAGAGGCAAAGCATTGCTAGAGAAAATACATGCCAACAGTAAATGATGGTACTCACATCAATTAGGGCACCCAGGCCAGCAATGAAAGCAAGAAGGTAAAAGGTAAATCTCCAACTGTAAGAGAACGCACAGCAACCTCAGAAACCCCACAAAGTTCACACAGCTTAACACAATTTCACACAGCTTACAACAATGTCACATGTACACACAACGGAGACAATACAAACTAGGGCTCCTTCAAGACAAAGTAAAGCATAAGCTACAACCACCCGTAAACTATACAAGAGCGCTTGTATTTTGATCAGGTGAATAAGACTTGCATCAAATCATGGTAAAGAAAATAACTGGCAGATACAAGACTCTTTTAAAGAAGGCACACGACACCTAACATGTTACACAGTAGAAATATGCCCACGTCGGAAATAAATGAGGGTTGTTTTGACATTCATTCATTACATGTAGGCAAGTGCAAGTTTCATTCAACCATGTTCATCTGTTCCTATTTGCTGTTCCTAATTGCTCTGCTTCTATTCATTTCAGTTCGCAGTACTGTACTTTCTTTGCTAAAACAATTGATTTCAACCATATTCAATACAGAAATGAGTGTAGCCTACATCTCTGATTGTAAAAGCACAAACATAATATCGTGGGTTTGCACTTGGCTGCTGTGGGTACCTGGCTTCCTGGAACTTCTTGATCTGGCTGGGCAGTTCCTGGTTCCTCCGCCGCCGGAACCACCTCTGGACCTGCCGCACCGAGCAACCTGACTGTTTAGTTAACTCCTCCACTGAACTCTGATAGAGAGAGACAAGGGTTAGAGGGCAATTTAATGCTAATGTATCTTAAATTGTATTGTTTTACTGTAAAATGTGTTGCGATTTTAAATGCACTTTAATTAATGGTTGATTTAATGTAGCAATTGTGCAGGGATTTGACTTAGGAGTTGTGTGGCGTTTGTGTGAACTATTGAACTGAGTGGTCACTTGGATTTGGTCAATGGAATTGTATGGTAGTTCCCTACATGGAGGATTAGGAAGGAGTTGACGTTCGGCGCCGTTATGTAGCATTACAGTTATGCTGTGCAATTACCTGTGAGGGGAACTTCGATGCATTGCAGAAATAACATTCCAGTGTGGTGTTGGGAGCAGCTTTGACACGAGGTTTCTCCCTCACTCTAAGTAAAGAGGCGAGTTGAACGGCCACGGTCCTGGATAGTCATAGAGGACGCAAAGGAGGAGAGGAAAGTGTGGTTAGGGACTGTAAATCAGTTCTGGTTGTTGCTGCAGTGAACACATAAGTCGACAAGGCTAGATGAACAGGCAAATGAGATTTGAGCAATACAGGTAAAAAACAACAGCAAGCTAATGAAACATAGCGAGGCCATTGCAATGTGAGGAGGGAGAGGAATTGGTTTTGTCCTCAATGTCACCCTATTCCCTATATAGTGCACTACTTCTGACCAGGGCCCATAGGATTCTGGTCAAAAGTAGTGCACTATGTAGGGAATAGGGTGGCATTTTGGGACGCACCTATCGTCTTGGGCCTGGAGTACTGACCTCTCAAATATCTGTCGGATAATCAGGAAGCATACTGCAATGGGGAAGATGACCCAGAGATCACTTCCTTTAGCGAAGACTAGGCCATCCCGGTCCTTGAGGTCGGCCCAACCCAGGCCTGCAGGGAACCACAGCCGGTCCTGCCAGACCCAGTCACTGAGCCAGGTCAACATTCTGAGAGAAAAAAGAACAAGAGAGAGAAACATGTAAGAGACATTCAGACAAAGGGGTGACGGCCAAAGCCTTGTACAGTCTGACAAGACATTTCTTTGGTAGATCACATACCAAAATGAAAGTATGTCCAAAATGATTCAAGGAAAGAAACGCCAACTCAAATATTTGTACGGAATGTATTGTTGTGTTTGTGAATTTTAAGTTGCACTATGCAGAAATCGCTCCACCATTTCCTGGTTGCTAAAACTCTAATAGTTTGCCTAATTTCAGTTTGTGACAAAATAAGCTAGTATAGTGTAGAGAAATATTGTACCATTTAAACCACTGTGAAATATATTTTCCATAACCAAAAACATTGTATTTTCAGCTAGTTGAAGCTGGTGTACAAAACCGAAAGTAAAAAGACACAAAAACATAACTGGAAGCATAAAAGTAGCTTACATAGAACAGATCTACCGCTTCTTAGACTTGCTTTCAAGTATAATTATTTCACATTCCTATGTGAACTTGGCCAGGTCGGCCAGAAAATTACATATTGCTACTTTAAATTGTGGAGGTTAAATATCATTAGACAATAGGTAAAAGAGGACTACTATTTGCATCCATAATTTGTATGTGATTGTTTGTGATGTGATTATTATGTCATGTTGATCTTGGTGTGCAGGTGCGTCCATCCATATTTACATAGTCACTCAGCCATGAAAACATGAGCAAGCTGACGACCTAATCTGACCCATCAACATATCCAACAACGCGATGGACTGGTGTATAAGAACTTCAAACACACAGAAGAATCTACAGATGCTTCAAACACCTACTGCAGGACTTCCTGACATTCCCCAGATTAATCCATTAGCTTGCTGAATACAAGCTTTGACAGTGCAGAGCAGCTCTTGTGGCATAGATGCAGCCATTGATAGTTGAGTGGGCAATATGCAGTGTAGGCTTAATTACAACACAGGCAATGGGATCTGCTGTGAAAGGCTCTCAGAGCCACTATGACATCACTGCTACTCATTACTGGCAGGTTTTGAATGCGTTTTCTTTAGTCATCCTTTGGATGGTAGTTTTGTTAGCGACGGCGTGTGAACAAGAGGGCCTGATTCTCAACTTACTGAACTTACTGAGGCACCTTTGTGTCTGAAGTCTGTCAGAGGCCAGCTTGGTTATTTTAAACCACACTGACTATGATAGTTGTACAAAGCCAGATCATCAAATTAATGCACAGGGAGAGAAGATCTGTGCCTAACATCGCACTTTTAACACAATCCTGGGCACAGGAGATGCCTTGGTTTTTTTGGGGGGGGTGGGGGGTTGGATTATTTTTCACTTACGATGACAGTTCTTGTTACAAAAGGGTTAACGAGTATTCGCACAGGGAAGCCTCAGTGCCAGCTACACTAGAGATAATCCAAACAAACCAGTCACTGTTTGACAACACCCCTCTCCTGTCTGTTAATTGATTGTGTAACAAGGATTGTATGCATGGACTTTGAACACTCCTATGCTTACTGTGAATTAACAATAGGGTCGTGGAGCTCTGGCACCTGCCTTTGTTTGCACAGGAGGAAGGACTATTGCAGTTTTTAGAGAAAGCTGGATAAAAAAAAAAAACATGAATGTGAAACATACTGACACTAGGACACCACTAACTTAATTCATTGATGGAGTAGCTAGTCAGTATAGCAAGCATACAGTGCCTTCGGAAAGTATTCAGGCCCCTTGACTTTTTCCACATTTGCTACAAGCTTGCCACACCTGTATTTGGGGAGTTTCTCCCATTCTTCTCTGCAGATCCTCTCAAGCTCTGTCAGGTTAGATGGAGAGCATGCTGCACAGCTACAGTGGGGAAAAAAAGTATTTAGTCAGCCACCAATTGTGCAAGTTCTCCCACTTAAAAAGATGAGAGAGGCCTGTAATTTTCATCATAGGTACATGTCAACTATGACAGACAAAATGAAATTTTTTTTCCAGAAAATCACATTGTAGGATTTTTAATGAATTTATTTGCTAATTATGGTGGAAAATAAGTATTTGGTCAATAACAAACGTTTCTCAATACTTTGTTATATACCCTTTGTTGGCAATGACACAGGTCAAACGTTTTCTGTAAGTCTTCACAAGGTTTTCACACACTGTTGCTGGTATTTTGGCCCATTCCTCCATGCAGATCTCCTCTAGAGCAGTGATGTTTTGGGGCTGTCGCTGGGCAACACGGACTTTCAACTCCCTCCAAAGATTTTCTATGGGGTTGAGATCTGGAGACTGGCTAGGCCACTCCAGGACCTTGAAATGCTTCTTACGAAGCCACTCCTTCGTTGCCCTTGCGGTGTGTTTGGGATCATTGTCATGCTGAAAGACCCAGCCACGTTTCAGCTTCAATGCCCTTTCTGATGGAAGGAGGTTTTCACTCAAAATCTCATGATACATGGCCCCATTCATTCTTTCCTTTACACGGATCAGTCGTCCTGGTCCCTTTGCAGAAAAACAGTCCCAAAGCATGATGTTTCCACCCCCATGCTTCACAGTAGGTATGGTGTTCTATGGATGCAACTCAGCATTCTTTGTCCTCCAAACACGACGAGTTGAGTTTTTACCAAAAAGTTCTATTTTGGTTTCATCTGACCATATGACATTCTCCCAATCCTCTTCTGGATCATCCAAATGCACTCTAGCAAACTTCAGACGGGCCTGGACATGTACTGGCTTAAGCAGGGGGACACGTCTGGCACTGCAGGATTTGAGTCCCTGGCGGTGTAGTGTGTTACTGATGGTAGGCTTTGTTACTTTGGTCCCAGCTCTCTGCAGGTCATTCACTAGGTCCCCCCGTGTGGTTCTGGGATTTTTGCTCACCGTTCTTGTGATCATTTTGACCCCACGGGGTGAGATCTTGCGTGGAGCCCCAGATCGAGGGAGATTATCAGTGGTCTTGTATGTCTTCCATTTCCTAATAATTGCTCCCACAGTTGATTTCCTCAAACCAAGCTGCTTACCTATTGCAGATTCAGTCTTCCCAGCCTGGTGCATGTCTACAATTTTGTTTCTGGTGTCCTTTGACAGCTCTTTGGTCTTGGCCATAGTGGAGTTTGGAGTGTGACTGTTTGAGGTTGTGGACAGGTGTCTTTTATACTGATAACAAGTTCAAACAGGTGCCATTAATACAGGTAACGAGTGGAGGACAGAGGAGCCTCTTAAAGAAGAAGTTACAGGTCTGTGAGAGCCAGAAATCTTGCTTGTTTTTAGGTGACCAAATACTTATTTTCCACCATAATATGCAAATAAATTAATTAAAAATCCTACAATGTGATTTTCTGGATTTTTTTCTCTCTCAATTTGTCTGTCATAGTTGACGTGTACCTATGATGAAAATTACAGGCCTCTCTCGTCTTTTTAAGTGGGAGAACTTGCACAATTGGTGGCTGACTAAATACATTTTTCCCCCACTGTATTTTCAGGTTTCTCCAGAGCTGTTTGATCGGGTTCAAGTCCGGGCCACTCAAGGACATCCCGAAGCCACTCCTGCGTTGTCTTGGCTGTGTGGTTAGGGTCGTTGTCCTGTTGGAAGGTGAACCTTCGCCCCAGTCTGAGGTCCTGAGCGCTCTGGAGCAGGTTTTCATCAAGGATCTCTCTGTACTTTGCTCGATCCTGACTAGTCTCCCAGTACCTGCCGCTGAAAAACATCCCGACTGCATGATGCTGCCACCACCATGCTTCACCGTTGGGATGGTGCCAGGTTTCCTCCAGATGTGACGCTTGGCATTCAGGCCAAAGAGTTCAATCTTGGTTTCATCAGACCAGGGAATCTTGTTTCTCATGGTCTGAGAGTCCTTTAGGCTATCATGTGCCTTTTACTGAAGAGTGGCTTCCGTCTGGCCACTCTACCATAAAGGCCTGATTGGTGGAGTGATGCAGAGATGGTTGTCCTTCTAGAAGGTTCTCCCATCTCCACAGAGGAACTCCAGAGCTCTGTCAGAGTGGCCATTGGGTTCTTGGTCACCTCCCTGACCAAGGCCCTTCTCCCCCGATTGCTCAGTTTGGCCAGGCGGCCAGCTCTAGGAAGAGTCTTGGTGGTTCTAAACTTCTTCCATTTAAGAATGATGGAGGCCACTGTGTAGTTATGGATCTACAATGCTGCAGAGATTTTTGGGTACCCTTCCCCAGATCTGTGCCTCAACACAATCCTGTCTCGGAGCTCTACGGACAATTCCTTTGACCTCATGGCTTAGTTTTTGCTCTGACATGCACTGTCAACTGTGAGACCTTTATATAGACGGGTGTGCCTTTCCAAATCATGTCCAATCAATTGAATTTACCACAGGTGGACTCCAATCAAGTTGTAAAAACATCAAGGATGATCAATGGAAACAGGATGCACCTGAGCTCAATTTCGAGTCTCATAGCAAAGGGTCTGAATACTTGTGTAAAACATTTATTTATGTTTTTTAAGTTTAATAAGTTTGCAAAAATTTCTAAAAACCTGTTTATTTTATCCATTTTAGAATAAGGCTGTACCGTAACAAAATGTGGAAAAAGTCAAGGGGTCTGAATACTTTCCGAAGGCACTGCATGCATGCGTTTGTCACATCAGTTGCTTCAAACGGCAGACCCTAGAATCTCCTTTACCTTCCAGGTGACTTTTTCACTTACAATGAACTATTTATTTACGATGTCAAAGGACATGGAGGGAAACCGGATCAGACACGTGTCAGATACTTTAAAAAAATACAGTTTTACCTCTAAGGATACAACCCTACATCATGTCAGATATGGAACTCAAAACAGCCACCATCGGGTCTTTACAGATGCAGAAAAGTTTAAAGAGGCTATAGTATGGAATGTGATAGTGAATAAAGATCGAGGTGACTGTTCTGTGAATATTGTTAGGAATAAACAGCCTTTAGTCTTACCCTGTGACAGGAAACTGACCAACCCAGGGTTCTCACAGTGTTACATACTGTATGTTTTCCAAGTGGAAAATGTAACGTGTTTTCTACTATTGCCATTTTGTGTTACAGAGACGTGTCATTATATTGGAAGGGGAAACTAGTTAAGATCCAGAATGAGTGATCGAGTAGGTAAATTGTACTTGCAACAATCTCTGCAAAAGTGGAGCTGGAATTGCAATACCTATACTTTCCCTAGCATGTGGCCAATATAAACAACTCAGGACAACAGGCTCGCGCTTTTATCAAATTCACATAGCAGCATTGAAAACATGAAAAACTGTTCAATTTCTTATTCATTTTAAAAGGATAAAGTCTATAAAATAATTCATGAGCATTCCATTTGTGTGATGGGAAGATGCAGTGCACTTATCAGTGGTAGAGTATACACATTAGGCTACTAACGAATACAAGGAATTGGGAACTATGGACATATTTACGTTTGTATTGTGATACGCTTTTAGTGTAAGAGAGAGAGAGAGAGAGAGAGAGAGAGAGAGAGAGAGAGAGAGAGAGAGAGAGAGAGAGAGAGAAGAGAGAGAGAGAGAGAGAGAGAGAGAGAGAGAGAGAGAGAGAGAGAGAGAGAGAGAGAGAGAGAGAGAGAGAGAGAGAGAGAGAGAGAGAGAGAGAGAGAGAGATAGATATGCAGCACCCTCAGCTCCCCTATGTCCCGCGGCTATGGATGGTGGAGCAGTTTTCAAACAATCTACAGTGAGGGAAAAAAGTATTTCATCCCCTGCTGATTTTGTACATTTGCCCACTGACAAAGACATGATCAGTCTATAATTTTAATGGTAGGTTTATTTGAACAGTGAGAGAGAATAACAACAACAAAAATCCAGAAAAACGCATGTCAAAAATGTTATTAATTGATTTGCATTTTAATGAGGGAAATAAGTATTTGACCTCTCTGCAAAACATGACTTAGTACTTGGTGGCAAAACCCTTGTTGGCAATCACAGAGGTCAGACGTTTCTTGTAGTTGGCCACCAGGTTTGCACACATCTCAGGAGGGATTTTGTCCCACGCCTCTTTGCAGATCTTCTCCAAGTCATTAAGGTTTCGAGGCTGACGTTTGGCAACTCAAACCTTCAGCTCCCTCCACAGATTTTCTATGGGATTAAGGTATGGAGACTGGCTAGGCCACTCCAGGACCTTAATGTGCTTCTTCTTGAGCCACTACTTTGTTGCCTTGGCCGTGTGTTTTGGGTCATTGTCATGCTGGAATACCCATCCACGACCCATTTTCAATGCCCTGGCTGAGGGAAGGAGGTTCTCACCCAAGATTTGACGGTACATGGCGCCGTCCATCGTCCCTTTGATGCGGTGAAGTTGTCCTGTCCCCTTAGCAGAAAAACACCCCCAAAGCATAATGTTTCCACCTCCATGTTTGACGGTGGGGATGGTGTTCTTGGGGTCATAGGCAGCATTCCTCCTCCTCCAAACACGGCGAGTTGAGTTGATGCCAAAGAGCTCGATTTTGGTCTCATCTGACCACAACACTTTCACCCAGTTCTCCTCTGAATCATTCAGATGTTCATTGGCAAACTTCAGACGGGCCTGTATATGTGCTTTCTTGAGCAGGGGGACCTTGCGGGCGCTGCAGGATTTCAGTCCTTCACGGTGTAGTGTGTTACCAATTGTTTTCTTGGTGACTAAGGTCCCAGCTGCCTTGAGATCATTGACAAGATCCTCCCGTGTAGTTCTGGGCTGATTCCTCACCGTTCTCATGATCATTGCAACTCCACGAGGCGAGATCTTGCATGGAGCCCCAGGCCGAGGGAGATTGACAGTTATTTTGTGTTTCTTCCATTTGCAAATAATCGCACCAACTGTTGTCACCTTCTCACCAAGCTGCTTGGCGATGGTCTTGTAGCCCATTCCAGCCGTGTGTAGGTCTACAATCTTGTCCCTGACATCCTTGGACAGCTCTTTGGTCTTGGCCATGGTGGAGAGTTTGGAATCTGATTGATTGATTGCTTCTGTGGACAGGTGTCTTTTATACAGGTAACAAGCTGAGATTAGGAGCATTCCCTTTAAGAGTGTGCTCCTAATCTCAGCTCGTTACCTGTATAAAAGACACCTGGGAGCCAGAAATCTTTCTGATTGAGAGGGGGTCAAATACTTATTTCCCTCATTAAAATGCAAATCAATTTATAACATTTCTGAAATGTGTTTTTCTGGATTTTTTTGTTGTTATTCTGTCTCTCACTGTTCAAATAAACCTACCATTAAAATTATAGACTGATCATGTCTTTGTCAGTGGGCAAACGTACAAAATCAGCAGGGGATCAAATACTTTTTTCCCTCACTGTACATCACAAATAACACTGAAATGAAACATTTTAGTCAGAGGGTCAAATTACACGAATGATAGGCTACTGTTTATTCAATCAGCCCGAAGAGTAGAAACAATGTTGTGAACATCTCCATTAGTGTGTGATTGCGGCCCGCAATTCAGGGCATTCCTTTGTTCCTGCATGTGGGCATCTTCATGCTTGTGTTTAAAGTAACTGCCCAGTGAAATTTTCACTTTTAAAAGTACATATTGTTAACTCATTATCCAAATAATGCTGTTGACTTGTCCTATACTCGTTTTTGTGGCCAAAGCATAAATTGGAGGGGGAATTTTTTTTTTTTTTAAAACACCTGCAAACTTGTATCTCATCTCCCTGAGGAGGATGAGCTGGCCAATCAGCGGTCTAGAGGAAGATCAGCTGGCCAATCAGTGGTCTACTTACATGAATATTTGTATTGACTGGTATACACCCACACCATTCTGTTGTTGTGGTACACACACACACACACACACAATTCCTACGCAGAAAAGCTGCTTTAAGGACACTGTCACAAACACCGGGAATCTTCCCATTCAGTTGGTCAACTTTTACATTTATTGCTACCCCAGTAATCACTCCTTTCAATAGCGCCCTTTTCTTGAGTGCAAAACAATTCAAATTTCTTGCCCCCATTCGTTTAACGCGGAACGCCTGCTCACTCTTTTTTATTTTTATATATATACATTTTTGTTTGTTTTTCTCCCCAATTTCGTGGTATCCAATTGGTAGTTACAGTCTTGTCCCATCACTGCAACTCCCGTACGGACACGGGAGAGGCGAAGGTCAAGAGCCGTGCATCCTCCGAAACACAACCCAACCCCACTGCTTCTTGACACAATGCCCTGCTTAACCCGGCCGCACCAATGTGTCGGGAAACACCGTACACCTGGCGACCGTGTCAGCGTGCACTGCGCCTGGCCCGCCACAGGAGCCGCTAGTGCGCGATGGGACAAGAACATCCCTGCCGGCCAAACCCTCCCCTAACCTGGACGATGCTGGGCCAATTGTGCACCGCCCCATGGGTCTCCCGGTCGCGGCCGGCTGCGACAGAGCCTGGACTCGAACCAGGATCTCTAGTGGCACAGCTAACACTGCGATGCAGTGCCTTAGACCACTGCCCCATTCAGGAGGCTGTGCCTGCTCCCTCAAATGAGCAGAAACACAAACAATTATCACAAGACCACTTCTGGTTACCCTCACCGATTCCACAGCACCCAACTCTGTTTTCACCCACCCTGAAACCACAAATGGATCAGCCAAAAGACAAGGTTCCACCTTTTCCAAAAACTTCACTCCTACTTTCACAGACTCATCTTTATCCTGACCCTCGGCGCAATCCTCGGGCTCCAAGAACTTCACCACACCTACCACCTCCGATACTTCGCCCTCATTCACTTCCATTTCTCCTCCTGTCTTCAACTCACTCTGTTTACACTTTCTACCATTCTTCTTTAACAAACCATCTCCCTTTTTCCCGCCATTTTTAACTGACTCAAGCTCACCCTCTTCCTCTCTCTCTCTCTTAGACCTCATCTGCCTCTCTTTTTCCCTCCATTCCTCCTCCGTATTCCAAGTATAACTCTCCTTATGATAGTACTGCACTTCTCCTGACATACATCTTGTTCTTGCCTACTCAAGGGACGCCATTTAACTGGCTGTCACAATCTCCATACAATCAGCACGAACCCCTTGGGATATAGTGCTCAACAGTGCATCCCCTGCAAAATAAATGTACACATTCATGTCTTTCAATCATTGCACCCACACTGCTCGCGCACGTCAACGAGCGTCTGCGTAGCCAGGCGCTAAAATAGAACTTGGGAGGGGCAGAGCTGGGGGTAGAGCAAGGGCTCTGTGATGCGCTGCAGCCTCTTTCTAATTGGGGTGTGCTGCTGCGGAGGGCGCTGCCATTGAGTTTCACTTGGACAGTGACGATTGAATGCCTTGCGCTCGGGACGGCAGCGATCTGTAGTACTCTCTCCACGACCTTCAATTCTCCATCCTCGGCTGTAGGGGGACGTGGATGCACACTTGCACTTGTTGTGAGTCACTAGGGTTCACACGTTCACTCGGCATCTGTATGGACTCTTTAGAAGAGCGGTCACTGCCTTGGTTTTGTGACTCTGTCGATGCTGTCGGTGTCGTTGTGGATTTTACGGGGGCCCCACTGAGGGGCTTTATCTGCTGGGGCCTTTGACTTGGTTCCTGGGGCCCCCTGGGGGACCTTCTACAGTGGCGTCAAATGTCTCTTCATCTGGCTTCTTCTCACTGGAGCAGAGACAGAGATAGACAGACAGAGAGACAGACAGTCCTGCCTCTCCCATCTCCTCATTGGTTTTTAGCAGCATATACCCACGTGAAAGATGAACTGAGGTCCACACTCCAGTCCAGTTGGTGGCGCCTTAAAGTTGGTTGCCAACCGCCATATAAAGTCCAAAGAAGAAGAAGAAGCCTGAAGGAATAGAAATTCTAGAAACAAACTCCGTTTACCCTTTTATCTGTGGATTAATTGTTGGATTAGAGGACCTTGTGCATTTCAGGCAAAATAACAACCCAAATGTTTATATCCCAGGACAAATTAGCTAGCAACAGCTAGCTAAATTGCCATAAATGTTTAATGCTTTTCGACCTGTCCCCAAATTAATATAGTTGGTTCAGAGTTTGTTTTTATATTTCAACCTGCGTGTCCTGATCGCGTCTGGTGTGGGTGGACAAAAATCAACATGCACGTGATGGCGGAATGCTCCGCAGGTGGGCGAAGGACACTGTTATATTGGTACAATACCGCCACCTATGCTGGAGTGCTCCCGCCTGTGTACCGGAGTCCTATCTTAAAGGGTATAATCCAACCCCAGAAATAAAAATCATGAAACTCCTGTCAATTTGGTGAAAGCCTATGTTCTATCAGTGGGTAAAATAATTTCCCCCGTGATTTAACTTCTTAGTGATTTGTCTGTGAAATCAGGAGATCGTATAGGAACGTGTCATCATTATGGAACGCCGTTTGGGTCTTTGCGTGTCAAAAAATATGCGTCAAATAACACTATTTGACATGTCAAATAAGCTTTTAATTTGACAAGTCAAATAACACTATTCTATTATAGAATGTTGTGTGTCCCAAATGTGCACGTGCAAGCCAAGCGCCACCATTACGATCACTGTTAAAGCTGTACAATACTGCGTTGGTAATAAGGCATTATTTGTTCGACCGAATGGGAAAACGTTTGTGTGAGCATTTTAAATTAGATCAGGATCAAACGAGCAGGATCTAAAAATGTTTGCAAATATCTTTGATACAAATGTTATTAGCAACTTCTGGGGTAGCTAGCTTTAGCTTGGTACCTAGCTAGCGCCAATGCAACCAGCCTGAAAACAATGACCAATAGAAACTGCAGTCATTTTCAATATTCTTAGCAATGATTTAGGAATCCATGTGAATAAGTATTAGCTTGGTAGCCACTTGTTGTTCTCCTATTGAAATAACTTGGCAGCCAGCTACTTAACCCTGTTGCCCAAAACTAATGTTATAAGCAGCCAGCTAGCTTCATCTGGCTAGTATGGCTTGACTGGACCGAGTTATGTGTTGTGAAGCTAGCCACAATAGTGGAATTTGCCTTTCGCCTTCAAAATAAAGGTCCCTATTTGAAAGTGATGCAGAAGGTTACAATTGGTGGAAACATGCCATATTTAGACTAGACAATGTTAAACAAGGTTGGAGTGTTGGAATGTGGAGCAATGAAATGGAGTATCAGTCTACTCGGTGACACCCACAGAACACAACTGTGAAGAGTTTAAGCAAATATTAGCATCGTAGCTCTTATTGCTGGACTTTGACAGTGGGAAATCACCTCCGCAGTCAGCCTATTGTGCTTATTGACATTCATATTGCACTTTACAGCCTTACCTAAGGATTTGGGATCAATGAAATGGGGTATCGTCATGACAAGTATATATTTCGCTTAGATGTGCTCAATCTAAACAGTGTACCAAATTATTCAACTCAGTTTCTCCTTCAAGTACCACCTTACAACGCACCCTGTGTGTCTGTGTGGGAAAGGGTCATTGCCATAGCAACATACTCTGCACTCGCTCTGCGCAGAGAAGAAAGTTGAACTCTGTGAGAGACTCCTAAATTGATAGTGCAGTTTGTTTAGGCGATTTTACTGTGTAGCTACGTTTGTTAGCTACCTAGCCAGCCCAGCTAGCTAGCCAAGCCAGCCCAGTTAGCTAGCCAAGCCAGAGAGCATTGCATTGTGGGTTTTGTAGTCGACTTGAACTGCAACAGATTTCCAAGATTTTCACGTTGCTACCAACCTTGTTATCAGTGGCGTGTATTCATGGATGCCAAGGGAAGCCAGGCTTCCCCAAAAAAATTACCAATAAAAGAATGACAAGAATTTCTATTTTCCTTCAATTCACAAGAGGCTGAAAGTATCTCACAGGACAAAGCATCCGAGCGAGCGAAACAGCGCCCCTGTCTCTCTACGTGTAGGCCATCTAGCTGATACTGGCTGGTTCAAACAAGTATGACATTGTTGCCACCTGTAGCACTGAAGGCAAGGGAAGCCGCAGAGCATCTGGCCTCTCTTGACAAAAAAAGTATTACATTTTTTTGCCAATCAGCATTGAGCTAAACTGAGCGAGCTCAACTGTGAATGGTCCTGGCTCACTAAAAAACAAAGTGTCAAGGGAAGCCAGCTTTGATTTGCCGTCACTCCTATCAAATCCCATTGAGAGCATACGTCATTGACAGAAAAACTTGAATTGTTGCATCTCGCTGTGCTGTCCTCTGGTGGCTGGCTAGCTAGCTAGCTAAAATGGTCCCTTTCCTAAATTAGCCATGGATGGAGATACGGATTTGGACTTGTGGTTTTACTTAATTCTCTGTACTGGCCAATCATTATAAAAAGCTGTTGTGCAGCAACTCACTGCCTTCCTGAAGACAAAACATTTATACGAAACGCTTCAGTCTGGTTTTTAGACCCAATCATCGCAGTGTGACTGCACTCGTGAAGGTGGAAAATGACCTTTTAATGGCGTCAGACCAAGGCTCTGCATCTGTCCTCGTGCTCCTAGACCTTAGTGCTGCTTTTGACACCATCGATCACCACATTCTTTTGGAGAGATTGGAAACCTTAATTGGTCTACACAGACAAGTTCTTGCCTGGTTTAGATCTTATCTGTCAGAAAGATATCAGTTCGTCTCTGTGGATGGTTTGTCCTCTGACAAATCAATTGTACGTTTCGGTGTTCCTTAAGGTTCCGTTTTAGGACCACTATTGTTTTCACTATATATTTTACCTCTTGGCGATGTCATTCGGAAACACAATGTTAACTTTCATTGCTATGCGGACGACACACAGCTCTACATTTCGATGAAACATGGTGAAGCCCCAAAATTGCCTACCCTGGAAGCATGTGTTTCAGACATAAGGAAATGGATGGTTGGAAATATTTTACTTTCAAACTCTGACAAAACAGAGATGCTAGTTCTAGGACCCAAGAAACAAAGAGATCTTCTGTTGGGTCTGACAATTAATCTAGATGGTTGTACAGTCGTCTAAAAAAAAAAAAAAAACGGTGAAGGACCTCGGCGTTACTCTGGACCTTGATCTCTCTTTTGATGAACATATCAAGAACAGCTTTTTTCCATCTTTGTAATGTTGCAAAAATCAGAAACTTTTTGTCCAAAAATTATGCAGAAAAACTAATCCATGCTTTTGTCACTTCTATATTAGACTACTGCAATGCTCTACTCCAGCCACCTGGATAAAGCACTAAATAAACTTCAGTTAGTGCTAAACACGGCTGCTAGAATCTTGACTAGAACCAAAAAAATGTGATCATATTACTCCAGTGCTAGCCTCTACACTGGCTTCCTGTTAGACCACTGTGCCACTCGGGAGGTTAAGGCGGTCTAAGGCTGTGCCACTAGAGATCCTGGTTCGAATCCAGCCGGCCGCGACCGGGAGACCCATGGGGCGGTGCACAATTGGCCCAGCGTCGTCCAGGGTAGGGGAGGGAATGGCCGGCAGGGATGTAGCTCAGTTGGTAGAGCATGGCGTTTGCAACGCCAGGGTTGTGGGTTCGATTCCCACGGGGGGCCAGTATGAAAAAAATAAAAAGATAATGTATGCACTCACTAACTAAGTCGCTCTGGATAAGAGCGTCTGCTAAATGACAAAAATGTAAATGTTAAGGCTAGGGCTGATTTCAAGGTTTTACTGCTAACCTACAAAGCATTACATGGGCTTGCTCCTGCCGGTCTCTCCGATTTGGTCCTGCTATACATACCTTGAATAAAAGGTGTGGTTGAATTGTATTTTTATTGTCTCGGTCTTTAGGCCTATATATCACGGTCGCAAGGTATATGAATTAACAGGTTACAGAGCAAATAACGCAATTATCACAACACAGGTTGTAATATGGCTTTTGGGGGCTTGGTTTCCCCAGTGGTTTTACCCACGCACCGCTACTGCTTGTTATAACGACAAAATGACATTTGTCCACAAATAATATTGTTTTCACATATTAGTGTTATTTAACACTGTTAATCATAGGAATTTGTGGTTTGGATGGAACGCCCCGCAATCACATCCTTCTCAACAAGATTTCCGGTAACTTTCTTTGGGGTGTGGAACTTGGCTATCGCTCGTTATTGAGTAGGACATTTCCTCCGCAACCAATGTAAGCTCAAACGAAGGACATCCAAAACATTTGTTTTCACGATTTTCTTGTTTCCAAACGGTGTTATTGTGCGATAGTTCATGGTTGCGTTTCAAACCATAATCTTCATTTATTGCCGTGTTCCTAAACAAACATCACCACGAGATCAGACAAGATCAACTCACACTTAGCCTATTCGGGCAAACTCGAGTTGATAGGAGTCTGTCGTCATCCTGAATAGTTTGTGAAAACATTCAAAAGTATGTTTATATATCTTTGTAGGCTACACACGCCGATCGAGTTGGACCACATCTCTGATTTCACGTATTCATTTAGCCT